TCACTCCTATCCCGCTCACCACAAACGTGATCAAAATTCCGTATTTTGATTTTCTTATGTTGTTTTACTAATCGCATTTTATCAACTAATAAGAAAACTATATATAAATATTTGTATATATATTGTAATAGTAATAATTAATAATGCCTATAAATTATAAACGGAAATTAAATTCAAAGCAGTGTGAAACTGGGAGCGGATTCGTCAACAACTTAATTAACAAATTATAGGTTGAACTTCATTTGCCTGGCTATCAATTTTACGGTTTCCTACCTTTGGTGCCAATAATGACAGCAATTTCAGCACTTGGTGGTCTTGCAAGTGGTGGATCAGCTATTGCCAAAGCCATAAACGATATTAAAAATGGAGAAGAACAATTATCGGAAGCGACACGACATAATCGATATATGGAATCAATTGCTATGGGGAAGGGATATTTTTTGAAACCATATAAGCAAGGCTATGGACTATTTTATAAGCCCCATTCAAAAAACTCTTAGAAATGCTACCTAAACGACTTACCGATATTGATTTAATTGGTTTTGGTAAATATTTTAAGCACTTTCGTGGTGTTTTTATGCGTGATCGTTTGCCGAAGAGACCATGGATCAACGAATGTGGCATAATAAATTTAGATAATGAAAGCGGCTGAGGCACACACTGGGTAGCATATTTAAAAAATGGAAATTATAAAGAATACTGCAAATGTAGTGACGTGGACGCTGTGTAGTACCAAATGATGCAGGTGAGATGATTGGTTGTACCTTAAATTTAATTATTTTATTTCAATAAATGCACTTCACTTGGACGGGGGGCGCACATGCGCAGACCTTATATTGCCAATACAATAATAAGAACTAAAAACTAAGCCTAGTCTAAGCTTATTCTAAGCCTATGCTAGGCGGCCGCCGGTGTGATGAGTTCACGGTCGGCAGCCGACGACCGACGGACAGTACGCTCTCCTCTTACGCGAACGGCTTGGGAAGCGCTTAGCCGCTGCAGAAGCCGGACAAGATCCAGCCGAAGAGGATGTTCTGAGCGACGGGGACTCCAGATTGACCCAGCAGCAGCCCTTGCTGTATGATGTTTGGGTACACATCAGCGCCGAGGACCAGGACCGTCGAAGGCCGGTCAAAATTGGGATCCGCAAGCGACAGATGCGCGAAGTGGCGCCGCCCACCGCAGCCGAGGGAGTCCGGTACTGGACCCTGGCCTCCACCTTCAGGATCACCTCCAGTTCGGTGAAAGGGCTGTGTTTGGAGCGCACAAAGGCTGAGTGGGCTTTTTCGGCACCTATCGGGACACTGGCCAGCTTCAGGCCTTTTGCGAAGGATTCGCTGATGCGGCTTACAGGGCTGCCGGGATCAAGGAGGACGCGGACGTCAAACCATTTCCGTCCTGAACCAACTTGGACGACAGCCGTGGGCATGACGAGAGTTTTCCCGTGTTGGAGGAGTGAGGAGAGCGTAGGAGCCTGTGGGACAGGTAGCGAGGACGGCGCTTTGGCGGAACGCCTTGGGGGCGTGCCTGTACGGCCTCGTCCGTGTTGGTGCGACAAGCGCTCGACCATGATCGGCACTCTGGCGGACCGCCTGGGAGGGGTGCCTGCACGATCGCGTGTTGTCTTACGATGTGCATGCTCCCGCATGTGGAGCAATGTGTGGTAGTCCTTTTCGCAAATTCGACACCGGTCACCGCTCCGACAGTCACCTCCTGAGTGCTCGTGCGCCAGACAGTTGGGACAGTACTGATTAATCAGCACTGCCCGAAGCGAGAAAAACGACAACTGTAGGAGAGCACAATTGGATGACATTCATCATAGCTCAATGTCTGAGAGGCCACCAAGCGGCCACACGATCTCATGATCCCGTGTTCATCCAAGAAGGGATTCAAATTATGGACTGAGCTTGACGAGGACACTGGTTGCTTTCCTTGCAATCCGATTGGCGACGAAGGTCGTCCAAGTACAAACTGGTTTCCTGAGCAAGGCAATCGTCGAATCCGTCCAAAAGAAAGTGTCGTAGCTGCTGACGGGAAGATATCTCTATATATATAAAACAGTTTGTCCTGACTGACTGACTGATTGGCAATCAGCGCACAGCCCAAACGGTAAGAGCTAGGAAGCTGAAATTTGGACACAAGATCCCTCTTATAGTGAAAGTGAGCACTAAGAAGGGGTTTCGGAAAATTCGAGCTCCAAAGGGGGGAAAACGAGCTCCAATTTTTATCCGATTAACTTCAAACTTAGTTTGTATATTCTCAAAAAGAATACAAAAAAAACTGTATACTTGGATTTTCAATATTTTTCCTGCGGCCTGAATAATAATGATTTTCCGGTGGAAAATTCGGTAAACGAAAAGCTATGTGCAATCAACGCACAGCCCAAACGGTATGGTTTTTCACCATTTTTCCTGGGGCATGAAAAAAGGGGGGTTTTCCGTGGAAAAATTGAAACACAATCAACACCCCACAGCCCAAACGGTAAAAGCTAGGAAACTGAAATTTGGGCTCAAGTATCCTATCATGGTGTAGATGCGCACTAAGAAGGGATTTTGGAAAATTCGAGCTCCAAAGGGGGGAAAAGTAGCTCCAAAGTTTGTTTTAAAATTCTGCATTTTTGAATCGATCAACTTTAAATTTAGGTTTTATAATCTATAAAAGAATACAAACAAAACTGCATACTCGGTTTTTCAAAATTTTTGGAGCTTGAATTATTGGGGTTTTAATATTTATTCATTTTTTCAAATGAAAAGTTTGTGTTATAAATTTTGTCAGATCGATTTCAAATTTGGGTAATATAATCTACGTAACTAAAATTACAACTTTGCATTTAACGATTTTTAAAATATGCATTTTAGAAATGCAGGTAGAACAAACAATACAAAATATCAAACAGTTGGGGACAACTAAGTATACATACACACACACACACATACATACATACAAGCAGCTGTTCGTGTAGTTGCGTGTAAACGGTTGAAGTAGCCAAAGCAAAATGTGAGACACTAATGTGTGAATGTTCATTTGTACACATGTATGTACATACATACATACATATGTATGTACAAAAGTACATTCGTCTTGCACTGACAGGGCAAGAAATGTTAATTAATTAAAAATTATTAACATTATAACATAAACATTTTTATGCTATTTTTTCTTTGTTTAGTACATTTGGCATAAGGGGTTTTTAGGACAACGGACTACAAGGGTGTACACAGGTTGGGCAGGGGGGACATTTCTCCCCTTAGAAAGAATTTCGCATTATGAATTACGCCAGCACCATATGTATTACATACGTACATACGTCTGTATGTATAGCATGTACATATGTATGTATGTACATCAATAAGTATGTATGTACGTTCATACATTCCTATATACATATATAGGTTTGTATGTACAAGTATGCAGTGGGCTATCGAACACTGTTGTTTAATTGTAAAAAATAGTTTTCTATGGTTTCAAATCAAAATTTTTAAAACAACAACAACAACTTCAAGTTATTGGCTCGCAAATCTTCTTTCGTTTTGATCATTTACGCCTGTTCATTACATACGCAAAATGCCAAAAGTTTACAGTTACAGTACACATACAAATAAATTTGTATGTATGTATGTGTACAGTGTACAATCGAATACAGTATTATAATCAATAACTCTCAAACGATGTTTTTCGATGTATTTGTATTCGACATGTATTACGATATATCAACACAAGTATCGATATTTTCGATATATCGCATTTAATTTTATTATTGGGGTTTTAATATTTATTCACTTTTTCAAATGAATAGTTTGTGTTATAAATTTTGTCCGATCGATTTCAAATTTGGGTAATGTAATCAACATAACTATATCAACAAATTGGCATTCAACGATTAAAATATAGCAATATGTTTTTTACTTGCCATATATCAAATATCAAATAGTTGGGAACAGTTCGTGTCTATGTGTGCCCATGCATACATACATATGTACAAGCATATGTATCTATGCCTGTATATGTATGAAGCATGTAAATACAAAACAACAACAACAACTTCAAGTTGTTGGCTCGCTCATCTTCTTTCGTTTTGACCATTTAATGTTAATTGCAAAGGCAAAACGCCAAAAGTTTACAGTTACCGTCGCTAAGCAACGACTGCGTATGCGATAGTAAAGCAGAAACCGAATAACGGAGCTACGCATATTCTGCTTCGCATTGCGGGCAGATGTATGTATGTATATGATTTGTTCTTATCGATCTCAATAAATAATTAGATTTTATTATTTAAATATTCTGCTTATTGCATTCAAACTTCGATATTTTGATGGTATCGGTGGCTTCAACTATCGAAAGTTTTACTCTAGCAAATTGAGATGAGAATTGTCAGTGCTTTTTGATCGTGGCTCATCGCTGCACGGCATTGACACGAGTGCCGTGTTTCATATTCCGAGTTTGTGCGTGACCGTATTGACTCAAATGTGAATTTAAAATTAGGATATACCCTTATAATTATTCCCCTTTTTTGCACATAGTCTATCTTAAAACGTTGCGTTATCTCTATATATAAAACAGTTTGTCCTGACTAATTGGTGATCAACGCACAGCCCAAACGGTAAAAGATGAAATTTGGACTCAAGTATCCTTTCATAGTATCCATCATAGTGTAGGAGCACACTAAGAAAGGCTTTTGGAAAATTCTAACTCCAAAGGGGGGAGGTTTAAAAAATATTAGTTATAGTGGTCATGTTCGTTTAAAGAAATAGTTTGGCAAGAACAAAAATGTAACGGACTACTGAACAATTTTTTGTCAAGAACAGAAAATGTTCATTTAAATACCTTAAATGCCTTCCTACTGGTAACTTATAAGGTGAAAACATATGGGTAGGTTATGCACACACAAAATAAATACAATTGGAAACATTATATTGAGCCGGGTTAAGACGGGCAATACCTGCTAGTTTAAAATAAAATTCGGTTTTTTTGTTGTTTACATTTTAATAAGTTTTGCTTACATTTTAATAAGTTTTGTGGTTACGTTTGTTGCAGAAATTTCTTGTGTTTGAGTGTATATTTTTGTTTACTTCAGTGCAACGTTTGGTGTGCATTCATTTATAGTTTTTTTTAAAATCATATTTATTCACGGAATTATTTGTGTTTGGTCACTTCGTAGTTTAAGAGAATTAAATTCAATTAGATATTAATAATGTTTAGATTTAAGTAAAAAATGAATTGTTTGCACATATGTTATTGTTAGGCGCTGTTTACAACTGTAAGTTTTTTTGTTTTATGTTGCTCTCTCGCGCTCTTGAATGCGATCCACTTGCGCATGAGAGCAAGCATCACTTAGAAAACTCAGATCAGACTGTGCAGTTCGCTTTTGTAACTTCTGCAACGTAAATTCAGTGCGAGCCAAAAACAGTCTGCCACTTTGATATTCCATAACATCGCTTCATTTGGAAGCGAATTAATCAAGGTACCTTGGACCTTCGCTTTTGCCATACCGGCAAGTTTCCGGCTTAAGCCGTACATTTTGGCGCCCCCGGGTGGACTTTGGCTTTTCTTGGTCGCCGCTGGACTTCGTTCTTCGTTGGATTTGTTCCTGTACGTGGATTGCTGTACTTGTGCCTCACATTGGGTTTGGATCTTGGCAAGTTCATCCAGCATCCATATGACTTTCCATAATTGTCAGGGTAGTGCACAGGTAACGAATACAAATTAAGTTTCGGCCACATATGTACATATGTGTACATTGTCGGCTTGTGCATAGATAAATAAATGCCAACTGCCAAGCGACAACCATACATATGTATGTACATAACTGCGCTTAGTTGCTGCAAGGTGGACCGTGACTTTTTTTGGAATTCGGAAAATTATTTGTACATACATATGTACATATATTGACATTAGTAAATGCACAGTTTTAATAAAGAAACTAAGTCAAATTTGTACTTAATTGATTTGTATTATTTAAACTGGTTGCGCTTGGCATAAAATTATTCCCAGTATATACATACATTTACATATAAATATATACACGCGCATGTATATATACACACATACATACATACATAATAAAAAATTTTAGTCGCGCCAAATTCTCGGCTGGGTCGTTGCGCTTTACCAATTTGCCGTTGCTTTTTCCTTTGGTACTTGTGTCCACTCTCCGTCGTTGCAGCTCGGTCTGCAAACGGTTACAGCTGTACATAAGCACACACAAAGCAACAAGCAATCGTGCGTTGGCTTTGTGCATTCTTCTAGCGACTGTGAATTTGCAGCGATTCTCTTCGCACTTGCTGCTTGTGCGCTTTCTCGTTGCGCCAGCCGTCGAAGTTGGTTCTGCTAGCGCCTGCGTAGCTGCCGAATATTTGTTCTATTGTAGCTGCGCTGCCAACGTTTGATAACTCAAATATTAATTCGAGTTATTGAACTTGTGTTTGCTTTGCGTCGATCAGCTGCGCTATCTAATAGAACAGTGCCGGCCAAATATATTAGGCACACTTTTGAGTTTGTGCATATTTAGGCAGCTTAACTTAAAACGTGCCGGTCTAATATATTAGCCATCTTACCTGTCCATTAGTATAGTAGCGTTAGATTTGATAATCGCCAGCCATTATTAAAATTTATCAATACACCGCCTTTAATAAAAAAGAATCAAAATGCCTAGTAAAAGATGCAAGCAAGTTCAGAGCAGAGAACTAGACGAGTCGAATTCTAGTAAAGCCGACTGCTGGCTACAGTCGCATGATAATGTGGTTCGCGACATTGAACGCATTAAATGCTCCATTCAGAGTACCCCAGTCATCGAACCATTCGAGGTTGAGTGCAGGCTAGAAATTTTGAAAAGGCATTCAAAATACAAGAAGAGCTTGACAACATAAATCCTTCTCTAGCTTCTAGAGCAGACTTAGAAAGTCTGTGCGTCACAGCAAAGGCATTGCTCATGAGCAGAGGTGGACGGGCAAAACTCCATACGGATAGTTTAGCCAATTCCACAATGAGTGGATCCTCTCATAGCCGGCAACTTCCAACAATGAAGTTGCCGAGATTTAGCGGAAACTATTCCGATTATAATAACTTTATTGGTAATTTTGAGAGCTTGGTCGACGACGATCCATCTTTGTCCAATATTGAAAAGTTCAACCACATGCTTTCATGCCTAGAAAAAAAAGCGCTCGGTACCGTAAGAGCCTACCAGGTAACCGAGGAAAATTATCCTACAGCGCTTGCAGCGCTTAAGCGCGTGTACGATAATAGTTGCCTTATCGTATTTGATAGCATTGCCAAACTTTTTGATTTGCCCAAATTGCACAGCCCGTCAGCTGTGTCGTTGCGTTCATTGATTGATAATGTTCGCGCCAGCTACGAGTCGTTGTTGTCGTTAGGTAACGACAAACAAATTTCAAACTTAATGCTCATACATTTGGTTATAAGCAAGATTGACCCCACTACAGTGGGAGGAAAGCCTTGACTACAGCCGTCTTCCGTCTTGGGAAGATTGCGAGGCTGCGCTCAATCGACGTTATCATCATTTGTCCGCTGAAGAATCGTCTTGTGGCCGTAGTAAAAAAAGTTGTGCCAATTATGCAAAAAAGGGTAGTAAAGTTGCGCTACCAGTTGCTTAGCCTAGTCAGCCGTCTGGTCCGAAATGTCCGTTCTGCCAGTCGAATGAGCATTACATACATTCGTGTACCCAATTTGCAGCGATAACTCGAGACAAACGCTTCAATTTCGTGAAACGGTCTCTGTTATGCATAAACTGCCTTAGAAAGGGTCATACGACAAAGGTGTGCAAATCAATTGGGTGTAGAGTTTGTTCGAAACAACACCACACAATCCTGCACAAATATGTTGCAAATTTCCCACATCCTGCACCTGTTAGACAGTCAGTAGCTGCCCAGCCAGCAACGCCAGCACAAACTTCGGTTGTTAACCATGCAACTACTGTATCTGACTAGGTCATTTTAACTACGGCAGTTGTTCGAGTTATGGATCAATCAGGATCTTTCCAACTTGCCAGGGCCTTACTCGATTCTGGTTCCCAAGTCAATTTCATGACGGAAGAGTTGGCCAAATCGTTGAATTTAAAAAGGGGAAAGAAAAGATATAAGCTTGCTTGGTATAGGTAAACGAAAATCTGCTGTCAGACATGTCGTGCAAACGTCAATAGCTTCACGCGTCGGCAACTTGTAACGTTGGTACTCTGCCGCGGGTATGCTCGCCGGCCAGAGTATGCTAATATAAATAAGGCACCCCAAAGTGCCAAGTTGTCCCACAAATAAAAGAGAGGCGGTATGCCAAAACTTCTCCACGTGTTTCTTTAATCTAACAAAATCAAAACTCAAACTGCCCGCGCTTCAGTGCGTGTGGGCCGAAAACAGAGAACAAACTAAACTTAGAAAGAACTTAAAGCTACTTGCCTTCGTGGCTTACTGTACTTATAATTACTTATACGCGTCATTACACGTCCCCCCTTCCTGAGCGGGGCACGTTCCTCCCTCCTGTGCGGAACACGATCCGGTCGAGGGGGGTGGCTGCCAACGCCACCATCGGAAGCCTCCCTTCTTCCGTCATCCGTCGTAAGCCATGCGCCTCCGCCGGTGTAAACATCGCCCATGCAAGGGGCTTGGTGGGGCCGTCGCACCTCTCCAGCACCACCATCGGCTGTTCGCACGCTGTGCCATCGGGCTCTCGGCCCCACGCCATGAACACTGGCCAATGGACGTGCGGCTGCACCACCTGCGGCCCCACTGCATGCAGCCGTTTCAGCTCCTGTACGCATCTGGCGTATATTAGACGCGCCTCCACCACTCGCATGGCTACTTCCAGCCCGACGGTCTATCGTCGGTGTTACCACTTGCAGCGATAGTGGTCGGTGCTGCCACTTATCGCATCTCCACGATAACTCGTTATCGACGGCCACCTGTCGCTCTGGTAACTCGACATCACCGCCCACATGTTTATATTATGCTTGATTTCCGGTCCTGGGCTATTTCAGGCCTGAAACGTAACAGAAAGTTTTTGTCTAATTATGTCTTATGCTCACATGGGTGTCCTCCTCGGCCAGAACGGCCACTTTGCCGCTCCCGCTTGAGTGGACGCCCGTTGCACTGCTGTTGTTGCTGTCTGTGTGACCAATAGGGCCCTGGCTGCTGTAACTGCTGTCTTGGCTGTCGTGCGGCTGTTGCGACCGCGGCTGCCTTCGTCGTGTTCGTTGACATGGCCGATCTAGTTGCCCGGACTGCCGCTGCGTCTGCGGAGATTGGTGTTGTGGCTGCTGTGAAGCTGTCGGTGGCGTGGTCCCGGTGACCATACTAACGCTGCCTCTGTCGGCTTCGCTGTCTTCTGCATTCACCGCTTTCAGATCCCGCACGTGTGCCGTTCTACCTCTGCCGCCCGCTACTGGTCGCACACGCACTATAACAGGGGATATGAATGCCCGCACTGTGAATGGTCCATCGAAGCGAGGCGCCAGCTTGGCCGCAAACTGCTCGGCTGCGTTGGACAGGTGATGTTGTCGCACGAGCACCTCGTCGCCCAGTTTGGGTCGCCACTCGCGTCTCCGCAGATTGTACTGGCGTGCCTGATCCTCGCTGGCCACCCCTTGGTTTCTTCTTGATATGCGGGCAACAAACTGTAGCAGCGTCGCGTGTGTTTCTGGGCTACCTGGTGCTGCCTCAGGGGCATCAGGATCCCTGCCGTACAGTGTGTGTGGATGCCGTGGTTCTCTTCCAAATAGGATGAAAGCCGGTGAGTAGCCCGTTGCGTCTGAAATTGCTGTATTAATGGCCAATTGTGCTTCCGGCAGTTGTTCGTCCCACGTGTTGTGCTGCCCGTCCGCCAGCTGGGCAATCAATGTTTTGACCGTTCTATTGGTCCGCTCAGTGGGATTCTCCTGAGGTGTGTATGGTGCCGTCAGTTGTTGCTGGATGCCTGCCTCGGCGAGGAACTGCTTCAGCGCGCGGCTCGTAAACTGGGCTCCGTTGTCTGTAATGAGCTTTCTTGGTGTGCCAAACCGTGCCAGAATCCGCTC